GCCGCTAAAATCATTACTGTGCAATACAAGTAACCCTCTTCCTGAAATCACAGTTAGATACACCTGACAGAAAATTCATTAACTACTGCACTGTGAAAATTTTATCAGAAGTAATAGAAAACTCACAAGACAACTTTGATCGGCTAAACACACAACTAAAAGATGTAGAAATATAGGTCCAGCAAATACAAGCATGTCGGAAAAAAACCTGAGTATTCCTAGAGCGAAAAAGTGTAAACCGAAAGCCTGTAACAAATTCTCATCTCCTCAGTCTGCCTAGAAAAATCGAATATAAAGCGGAAAGTAGTAACGTGAGAGTAATACCTTGAACAAAGTTTTCGTAAGAGAAAATTCTTCTGCATCAACGTAAAACGTTGGAGCGTTCTCAAAAAACTTCTTCTCGAGTCTTTCGCTATCCATATTGGAAGGAAGTGTAAATAAATCTGACACCTAAAAACTTGCAAAAAACGTGTAATCAACATTGAATGCATCGACTTTTCCCTCAATAAAAATTCCTAAAGAACGCTGAAAGGAATCCCCTATCATAAGTTGAAATTCTGATGTTAAAAGAAAAGTAAAGTCAAAGAAAAAACATCGATAAATCCCAAAATACCTCATTGAGCTGCTGCCTATATCCTTTACGAATAAGATCGTTAGTCCAGCAGAAAAAAATCCGTGAAAAAAAGCCTTCGTTTTCATCACCTCCATTTTTCAGAACCACATAATCGGCGTTTTCAGCTCCATCTCCCTCTAGCAGCTGAGCATAAGAGTAACTTCTAAAAAATTACAGTTTCTTAGCCAATTAAAATTTTAAAATACCCCTAATACAAACTTATAAAACTTACATATCCAGTCGCCATTCTACAATGTTGATTAATGTTCCTATCAAATGAACGGTGAATATAGCAAAGACCAAAATCGTGTAGAAGTCTCTTAAACTAAACAAAAGCCACCTTTGGATGGCAAGCACACCAAATGCAGTAAAGGCAAGCTGAAAGCCAACCACAAGCCCGGATCTTTTCGTCCAACTATAAAAAAAATCTTACAAAATTTTGACATAGAAAAAAAACATGTATTTGCAAAAAATGCTCTTAAAGTAGATTACCTCGTGCAAAAAAGGGAAACTATCCAGAGGACTGTGTAAAGGCTCCAAGTTAGGCTGATAAAACATGATTCTACAACATACACTAAATGAACTGCATAACTGGTAAGAAATCCAGTAACTGCAACAACACTGAAAACGACTGTTGTCAGTGCTGCAGTAAACGTTTTAAATGCAATTATACACTGCACAGCCGTGGTTTCTATCTGTGGGGACAATCGAAACTAAACAAAATTATTCAGAAAAAAATGTAAAAATACAAATTTATCAGCTTATAAAATCTTATGGTCTTATACTGTAGGAGTAGTTTCACTATACGGTTGTTTATCTATGTTTCATTGTAGATTCCGCTCAGCTTCTTCTTCTTTTCTTCTCAAGCGAATTCTTGAAAGGATGAAATGAAACTTACCTCAAACAAGAACAGCGTAGCAACTGTGAAATAAATCAGTGGTAGATGACCCAAAGCAACTACGGTTAGTTCTGCACATGGTGTTAAAGTATGAGTGGATCCATTGAAGATATACCTGCCAACAAACTTTGTAGCGCTCAAGTTAAAACCACATGTCTCGAACAGGTCATCCATGAATCACTGCAAAATAATACGAAAAGATCACTCAAACCAACAGATTAGTTAAGAATACAGTAAGGCTTTTATCTTTTATTTAAAATCTTAGTTGAAATGACAAAAAAACATAATCAAAAAAGCCAACAAGAAAAGGAGAAGACGAGAAAAAGTTAAGCTGTGTACTGCATCGATAACTCATTTTTAAAAACGAGATGCACTAAACAATGATTTGCACAACAATACCATGAAAATTAGTAAAGTAAAACTCTCATATAACTGAAATCACTAACCGCTTTTACAGACCAGAACTTCCTGCTGTAGCCAGTGATTCTGTTGTCGGTCGTTTTTATTATAAGATAACAGGTCTCTCTGTCGGTAAAAAGAGCTTGTTAGAAGGAAAGGAAAAAGAAACCGAGCACCAGACTAACAAAGTGACGCTTCTAAACAATGTACGATTATTAGTAATCGACATTTGTAACATCGGTTATACACAGAATTTAACACCATCCGATACACCCGCGATTATAATCAACAAAAATGTAAACTGTAATCGATTACCGGGCAATCAGTTACAAAAAAAAAAAAAAAAAACAAGCAATTTCAAAGCAACCACGAAGTTACAGAAGGAACTGACAAAACATTACTATATGGAACCGAATTTGCCACAAATCAAACGCTTAGGTAACTGAGGTCTTCGCACACGCACAGCAATCAACCAACTGTCCTATAGCGAACTACAGTTGCGCTACAAACTACCAACCACAAAGGCAGTCATCATATTGCAGATACATCATCTTGTTGTATGCCTTAAAATCCTTCATCGGCAGCACTTCAAAATCCATTATGGCACGAATATGTAGTTGCATTTTTTTGCTTTAACCACAACGACGATGACCAAAAATATCGAGATAATCCGGTATCAAATTTGCCATCAAAAATTTTTGCAGTCCACTCATTTGCAAAATTTCTTGACTACGGCAGTTCTCTATCAATTGTTGCTACACACCAAATTTGCTTTATTATCTGTCTGACGTCATACCTGAGAAAGCGTTGAGATTTCAATCTGCCAATATAAGACAATTAAATGCTTTGAGCAGTCAAAAATTGGCGTGGCTTTTATCAATGAACAGATCTGTCATACAACTTCAATTTTCCCACAACAACAACTATATTCTATGGTTTTCGCCCATTCTAGTATTCTGGTTTCTAGGCTTCAGAAGTTCTATACGACCTAACAACATCCATAGCTGCTGCATTAAAACACAACTCTAAACGTCATATACTTTTGACTAGATGCTTGAAGTCAGAGGGAAATCTGTTGACACTGGGAATAGGCAGATTTTTGATGCCTGAAGTGTATAAATACTAGCAACTAGTTTAACTTTTTTTACTTTGAAGGTATAATCAGTTAGACCATCAATTTTGCTACCTTTTCCAATACAAAATACATTAGTTTTGCAGACAGGTTTTAAATTACGTAATTTTAGTAGAAAACCTTTTAGTAATCTTCTAAGTATCACCTTTTTTTGTTGTAAAAATCACTTAAATCGCATCAAACAACCTTTACCTTTTGCAACGGAAATTTTTTTTCAAATTTCAAACGCACTACCGTTCCGATACAGTTTTGCAAATCTTCTGCCTGACTTCTGCTATAAAACGCCCCAGAAACAGTAATACGTAGATCAATTTTGACAAAAAGTTCTTTGTTGCTTCTTATTACTTCTTTATCTTTTACCACGTCTTACAAAATGATTTTCAAATTTAATTTTTTCTTCTAACTTTGATAAAAAATCTTCTCCATTTTCAAAATGCACCGGAAGATTACGCTACATTTCGTTTTTTTACCTTTAAACTATAATGAGCATAATAAATGGTAGAAATCTGAAGTCTATTTCGACCTTAAATGCCAACCTTTTAGATGCTGAATAACGTCGTCGTTGATCCATCTCTGATTTCTGTTGAACAGTTTGCTTCTTCAGATATTCCATTTTTTCCTTTTAACTTTGTTGTTTACTGTTTTAAAGCTGTTTTGGGCTCAAGTTTATAAATGTGATACACAAAAGACGAAGAAATTCTCAAAGTTTAGAAAATTTCAACGGGAATAGAATTATTGGTTGCCTATAGTTTTATTCATCGTCTTCATCCATTTATTACACATTTTAAATAATAATGGTTTTCTTCAATGCCATACCATATAATGTAAAGTGGAAACCGTCAGGAAACTTAAATCTCAAAGCGATTACAAAGGACATGAACGCAGGAAAAAAAAGCTAGAATTTAAAAACTTATTCCACTGATCACTGGTGTTCCGTCCCTCAAATAGGCATTTTTAACAAAACAAATATGTCTTCAAAATACAGAACGACACTCTTGTTTTTGATGGTAGACACTTTGTTTGAAGGAATCTGATGCTTAACCACCAACTACAATCAGATCTGGTTATGCTAAGCAGCTTAGGTTCTCCGCATTAAACATGACGTTTTAAAATGCTTGCCGAGATCATATCTGTTAAGATCAGAAAAATGATATTACTATTTTTTCCCACAACTTGTATTGCTGCTGACAAGTATTACAATTAAATTACGTGATTAGGACAATTTGATATATGAAAGATTGTAAAGATGAATTTACAATATCTGTCTTTTCAACGTACTACAAAAGTTTTTTTGTCAGTTGTAATCTTTTTTTCTAGAATGAAGAAATAAAGATGAAAATATAGTTAAGAGGTGAAAAATATCGTATAACTGGTAAAAATATTCGGTTTATAACGGATATCATAAACCGTTTCTATTCTCTTCTGGCTTTTAACACCATTGCTCTACAAAACGACAAAGACAACAAATTTTTAGTCGAAAAAAAAAAGCAGCAAACAACCTTTTTAAATCTTTCTGTTCTTCTTCCTGTTTTCTCCCTTCTATCATGCCATTTTTCGTGTTGGTGGGAAAAAAACTTTGGATGGAGAAAGAAACTGGAACAGTTTGTCCTTCACAAATTAGTGCAAATTGGTCGTCCGTTTAAAAGTTAAACAGATTAACTTTTCCAGCGATTGGTTCAGAATAAACCCAAAAACAACAGCAGATAACGAGAAAGAACTTCAGCAAAATTAACTGACTTTTGATCAGTGCAAGAAGAAAAAAAAAACAAATAAGAAAGTGAGGTAGAAGAGGGAAAAAAAAGATGAGAATCATCGTATCAGAATGAAGAACGTCAAGTATTCTGAAGTGGAGTGTATTAACGGTCAAAGTGATCTAAGGGAAGCAAATCATTCCTTGTTAAGCTTTAGGTAATTGTTATTAATTAAATTGTTAAAACTATCACTAACCCAACTTTGTACAATCTTTTCTTCTTATTTCTTTCCATTTTTTCTTTTACAATGATCACTGTATCAATGAGCAAATAGTTAGCAATTTAAGTTTTTTTTAATAAAAATTACATTCCCTACCAGTTTTTCCCCTGAACTTTCAAGATGACTCGTTTTTAAAGTGACTTACAAGTTTATGCTAAAACTAGCTTGGTCCGAAGAAGTTTTGCTTTTTTTCCTCCTCCTTTTCTTGGTTGTCCTGTTTCACTGCGTTACCATTACAACAACACAAAAGAAGTTACTTCTTAACAAACAAACGCAAACTTTATGTACCTCTGATTGCTGAACTGCTGCAACATAGCGTAAGTCGATAGCAGCTACAGCAACGTTAGTAACAACATCAATACCTGACATCAGCATCAAACGGTAACCGTAGCAATAAAGGGAACAATAGCAACGGCAGCAGTAACAGTAGAAGTAACTAGTAATAGCAAAAAGTGCAGTTTTGTTCTTTTCCTGTCATAGTAAACAACCCAACTACTTTATTTTCACCTCCACTTTCTCTCCTTTCCTTCTCCATTTTCTCCCCTTCCTTGTCCTCCCTGCCTTCTTCTGTTTCTGCTCCTCCACTTTTTTAATCGTTTCTTCTATTCTTCAGAGTGGCAAATACCTATAAATTTTTTGTTGTTTTTTTCTTCACCATTAATGCCTGTCCATTCTCGTAAGTTACAGACAGTAGGCAATTTTAGTCATAATGTTACTTTCAGCTGTATATTTTACTTTCAAAGAATGTTTTAACAATCTGTTGTCGTTACAGCACAAAAAAAAAAAAAAAATTATATTGTACTAAATAACAGTGTACCTTTTTAACAAAAATATTAATCAGCCTTCAGAAGTATAGAATTAATTTTTTTTGTTTACGTGGTTTTCATCTTTTTTTTTTTTTTGTCCCTCCTGTTATCTCCCTGCAGTAACCGGATTTTACTGTTAAATGTTGCTGGAAAGTGCTAATTAAACATCGCAAAAAAATACTTTTAAAAATCAGTGCTGGAAGAAAAAACGGTATTCTAACAAAAGTCGAAGACATTTTTGTACATATAAACGCTTAATGAAATAGAAGATATTTATATAACAAATTGTCCTTAAACATATTTAAGAACGAAATAAGGCAGATGAAAAGAACCATAGAAAAGCACTTTTTATTCTGAGCAAGATTTTGATCCGTAGGAACCAATGAAATGTTAACTGCGCAACTTATTGCTCTTTTTTTTCATTCAAAAACAGATGAGGTAAATACCGATAAACGAGAATAAGGAGGAGGAAAAAAAGAAGGAGAGAAACAAGAAGACAAAGACAAAGAAGAAATTAGGGAGGGAGACAAAAAGAAATACATTTATAAAAGCATCTATAAATTTTGTCAGTAAAAAGAATATTGTGTAAACTTTAGCTTTGTTTTTTTCCATAGTCTCTTCTTTTTTTCTTCTTCTTGACTGTTTTAGGGTTTGTAGAAATTTGTTGACTTTTAGGAACTAATTGAAGTATTATGCCGATGAAATAAACAGTATGGGATGAAAAGTTAATAGGATTAAGCAACAAAAACTGAGTTACTGGTAACTGTCCCGTTGTGCTAGCTATATTCGGCGTTATCATCAAGGAATAATTACCCATATCAGTAAACTATCAAAAGTATGTCTTGTTTTATAAATCGGTATAGGTA